AAATAGACACGGAGCTGCGAAGACCTGATTCTTTTGCTGCATGTTTGAGTCTGCAACTTTGTTGTGATAAGACACTCAATCCTAGTGATTGTACTTACTCAACATAGTGACGGTGTAATTACCATCACAGATTGTACGGGAAATTCCAACTTTGGAAAAAACAAATATTTGGCCTACCCAAATTTTGACTACTACCCGTGCGTCTACGTCCTGGATTGGCCAATCAGTGGTGCCCCACGGTGGCGTGATACATGCACGTTTACTGCGTTGCTCTGATTGGCTGACCGAACGTGGCGTGGTAGGTAGGCTGTTTCTACTCTCTAAGTCCTCTTCTTTCCTTTTTATCCCCTCATGCACTCCGTTCTTTGAACGGGAGGCGGAGACTTCGCGATACGGTCGATCCGGCAAAGGGAACCTGTGATAGTGCAGGGCACCTTGTCCAGGGGTCACCGGTAGGTGGCAACTTTTTAGATATTACTATAGTCTGGAAGCCTGGGTGCAGGCCCGACGCCCGTCCAAGAGGGGGGGGCAGGGTCACTAACTCCCCCAGGCAGAACTCCCTGTGTTATGGGTAAGTTAGATGTAATCAAGAAGATGACAACTAGCATTGAATAAAACATAGAGATAAAGGGACACTCGTGGAAGGGGAAAAGTGGCGAAATCACTTACAACAAACTGCAAGTCCACTAACTAGAATATTCAGCAGCGCAATGAAGGTTTTAAAAGTAATCTGTAAAGATGACTTTGATTCAGATAAAATCCTTTCAAAAGAAGCAAGAGATATATTTTACAATGAAGGCCTTATTGTTGTCATGCCACCAGAACAAAAAGCAAAAAGATCGGTTTTTGTTCGTCAAGTCGATCAAGAGATCGGGAGGAAGACCTGAAAGAAGAACTGGAACGCCAAAATAGGTGGATGAAGATTGAAGAAGTCATTAAGATAAAGGACTATACTCATGTTTGAAGAAGTGTCAATGGCTGAGAAAGTTTTACAACAGGGCTTTCTAATATTCAACATATCAGTCACACCACATCAAATAAAGAAGGAGACATTCATCAGTCTGCAAACTTGCTTCTCCTGCTACAAATATGAAGAACACACAACGAGAGACTGTCCGGAAAAAGAAAAAAAGTACTGCTCAGATTGTGCAGGCGACGACCATACCTACACTGAATGTAAGAATACACATGTTGGCTGTCTCAACTGTAAGAGAGAAACGGGAATGTATACATATTAGGACATAGGACGTTAGCAATGGCATGCCCAATAAAAAAACACATGATAAAGTACAAGAAACAAGGAAAAAAGGAACAAGACAAAGGATACGACATACGTCAGAAATAGCAAAAGGAAACTGATCCCAGGAAACATAGACAGAATCCACAGTATTAAACCTAAGTGAGCCAATACATGATAAAGGTAATGATTAGTATGATCCATGCACATTTGCACAATATCATTGCGGATCTTCTATTGAGAATTGAAATGTTTAAATTGAATAACCTACCAGGAAGATGATATTTCCAGAAATCCCACAATCCGAAAAAACTATTTCAGACAACATATGCAAGCGAACTGAGAAAAAGACTACATCAAGACGAACAAAGGTTTGAGCAAGGAGCAACAGCTGATACACAAGGAACACAAGCGACTGATAGAGATCCCAGACAAATGACTAGAAGTGACAAAGAGAAGATAGAAATAACAAAAGGACAGACAAAGGAGTGAGGAGGAGAGAAGATAAGATGGAAACTGATCACAATATACAACCTGAATCTGCTGAAGAAATTGGATTAAAAGTTATCACTACAACAAAACATGGAATCCCAACATCGAGACCAACAGGAGGGACAATAGTAAAAAACTGTGAAGGAGGGATATACAAGTGGACATATCCAGAAAAATCCCTAAGTGAAGATTATGTCTGGTCACTAATTACTACGGACAAACTAAAGATTACGGCCAAAGACTTTAAAATAGTAGACCCGTCAGAGTATAGAAGAGTCAGAAGCGGGAAACAGGATGACAGGTCTCCACTCCAACTGCCACAATCCAAGTATAAGAAATAATGGACAATAGACAAACAGTAAGAACTTTAAGAATAATACAACACAACGTAAGAAACTGGAAGACCGAGAGAATTAACCTAAGTAATATATATCGCGAAATTGACCCTGACATTATACTAATAAACAGTCACGGTGAGACAGAAAACAACAACATAAAACTCTTTAACTATTATGTAAACCAAGGAAATAAATCGGGCGAGAAAAATGACGGAGTAGCGATAGCGGTTAAAAGAAACTTAAAATTTAAACTAATTGATGACTTCCAGGATGAATTTCTAGCAATAAAAATAAATACAACTCAAGGAGACGTAATTATTGCTACTACTTACCTATAGAAGACCTATTAAAATTGGCTAACAATAGTCATCCGATGTGCATCTTAGGAGACTTTAACGCCAGACATAGGATTTTTGACAATACAAATAATAAC